CCACATGGGTACAATGTGTGAAGCCCATTTCTGCTGTTCCCCGCCGTGATGTTGCTGGAATATTGCTAAAAGCGGCGTAAAACCAAACTCAGTCAGTCAGTCACCTCATTGACTTATATGTATCTTGGTCCAGTTGTACTGAATATTTTATGTCACCTTTTTTCACACCCCTTGAAATACAACACATGACAACTAATGATCTTGTCTATTGTAACAGGAAGTTCATGACAACGTTATCACATACGTTCGTATTCTAAACATTCTATTTTATGGACATGATAAGGTGTATGGTGTATTTCTGTTTACTATCTTCTCCTTTGGAAGTTACTCTGTTTTCTGTTCTAAGGTAAGCTAACTGATACATTACTGCTACTTTCTGTGTTTACAAGCCAATCATGCAGACATGGAAATGCCTTTGTCTATCAATGACTGAGTCAAAACAGTCTGAGAATAAATTATCTTTACTATAGTAATTCTCTGTGATACTGGGTCTAAAAGGGACATAACTCAGGCCTTTCACTTTGTCCTACTGATATTTGTCTCAAGCAAAATGATGGGTGATTGGTATTCACCTGACTTTTGTAATAACGAGTCGCATATTGAGATATGTCTGACTGATTGACTGAGTTTGGTTTTACGCCGCTTTTAGCAATATTCCACCAATACCACGGCGGGGGACACCAGAAATGGGCTTCACTCATTGTACCCATGTGGGGATTCGAACCCGGGTCTTCGGCGTGATCAGCCAACGCTTTAACCACTAGACTACCCCACCGCCCCTGAGATATGTACAACAATAAATTGCATGGGTTCTTTAATCAAGAATTTTAATGAGTTTTTATGAAAAAAAAGCAGCGTAAAGCTAAACTCACTCACTCACTCATTTATGACAATTATGTAATTGTCCTCCATTTTGATGGATATGTCTTTGCTTACAAGGTATGTATAGTAAACCAATCATGTACATGAAACTGCATCCTGTATTTTCAGAATAATTGTGATCCTTGTTTATTAGGGTTTTTGATGTTGTGGTGTATCAGTAATATCAAGCACCTCTGAAAATAGCTAAACATTTTATAAACATGTACTACCAATTAACACTGAAATGCAATACCCATTCTGTAGAAGTGTTTAGGCTTAGGAAGATGGTTTTATCATATTCATGGATATGATGGACTTCGGTGAATGCTAAACATGCCAAATGACAGCTGAAACAAGCTTTCAAGGAATGCCACACTAGACAGCTAGTCTGACTTTTGATGAAGCTAGGGCTAGTTATCACAGGAACTATTTTAGGTTAATGTACTTGACTTATATTTATTGGTGTATGTATCTTTTTATGAATATTCATTGAATTTTGAAAATTGCAATGTTCATTAGAATAAACAGATTTAGTGTGATCATGTAAATACGAAAAACTTGAAATAATTGCTTTAAGTACTGTTGCAGTTTTTGGCTTAATATATAAATATTTTAAAAGGGAATTTAGTTTTAAACATGTGGTTCATCTGCCATAGTACCTATATTTATGTGATTAAAACAGTGTTGCTATATTCTGTATACTTGGAATGGCAGCCTTCTAAACATGCTGACAGGTACTGAATATATTATACATTTGTAACAGCTGGCACACTGATGATCATACAAGAAAAATGTATAATCCAGTGAACTATATAAAAAACAAGGAACCAGACCAAAATCAATTTCAGTAATGGAATATATGAATATATAACTCTGAAAGTGCTGAAAATTATATTCATATACTAGTGAGAATGTGGAGCATATATCATGTATATTCATGACATGTACTTAGCTGCAAAAGAAACGCAAGTATCAAAATCGGTAATCTAACATAACTCAACTGTATATCTGCAGAGAATTTAATCGATCAAAAATGCAAGATTTTGATAATGCTAATAATACAATTAATTGAAGTTACTTTAAAAAGTTATGTGATATATGTACATAATGACAGGTAATGACTGCTCAAACAGTTATAACATTCCATACGATTCTGAGACCATGAATGAAGACTGAATGACTCGATCGTTATAGACTGAACCTAACTATTACAGTAATGTTTTGGTTGAAACTATTCACTGCGCCCTCACCCCAGTAGGACGCTCAATGCAGTGGCACCTACTGTGTACAATGGGGGCGGTGGGGTAGCCTAATGGTTAAAGCATTGGCTTGTCACGCCGAAGACCCGGGTTCGAATCCCCACATGGGCACAATGTGTGAAGCCCATTTCTGGTGTCCCCCGCCGTGATGTTGCTGGAATATTGCTAAAAGCGGCGTAAAACCAAACTCAGTCAGTCAGTCAGTACTGTGTACAATGGGATCTGAATCTTTTTAAGCTGAAGGCACACACTGTACAGATAGTAGCCAATGCAACAACATAACAACAATTTATGGTAAGCAGATGTGTTTCAACAGAACAAACAGCACCAAAGATCAACCTGGAGGGGAAGACCTGATATGACTACTCCTGCAGACAACAGACAACTCTTCCAAACATGGAGTGAGGAACATGGTCATATAGCTGGGGTATTGCTGAGTATGGCTTCAAAACAACAAGCAAACATAAGAACTTCTGTGAGAGAGGTGTGCCCACCATTGGCAGCTACCACATCGTCATCCCTAATGATCCAGTCAGTTGTAGCAGATGGCACCCATTGCCAGTGACCAACCTGAATTTACGTCCTAAAATGGCTTGACTTAGCCAGAAAGGACCATTCAGGAGAATGTGACATGATCTCAAGTCCATAGTGGAGTCCCTGGAAGTAGATCCTCTTCTTGAAAGAGACCATCTCGTCTCAATGAGTGGTTGTACGATGCTTTATTGCTAAATAAACTCAGTAAGTTCAATAACTATAATTTGTGTTTTTTTAGCTGTTAAAAAATATCATCCCTATGCATATTCAAAAGCATGTTAAGCCCTCTCGGGTTTTTTTACAGTTGATCATCCTCCAACTTAACCTCCAAGTCATAATAAAATGGAAAAAAACAAATGTAATCACTGTTGATCTGATTGATCTTGTATTAGGTTATAACAATGTATTTCTTGGACCTTACAATGTAGTAATGAGACAACTTTGTAACAAAAACCTGCTTTTTCTCAGAAGGAGTGACTTATAATAATAATAATAAATGTGAACTTTATAATGCGCCTTTTCCATGCACAAGGCCCATGCTCAAAGCGCTAACAAAGTGGGTGGATAATATAAATATATACAATGAGGGACTAGTAGCTAGTCATAATGCAGTGAAAACAGATGAGTCTTGAGAAGTCGTTTGAAGGAATTAAAGTCAACTGCTGATTTAATGGTGATAGGGAGAGAGTTCCAGAGTAGAGGGGCAGAGCAGGCAAAGGATTTCCTTCCAAAAGTTTGCAGTTTGAACCGAGTCACAGAGAGTAGGTTCAGATTCTGAGAACGGAGCTGTCTTTCTGGAGTGTATGGGGTAGGAAGTTCTTTCTAGTATTCTGGGCCTATGCCATTGAGGCATTTGTAGACAAAACACAATATTTTAAAGTCAATTCTTGATTTAACAGGCAGCCAGTGGAGGTTTTTCATGACAGGTGTTATGTGTAAGAGCTTTGAAGTTCTGCTTATGATTCGGGAGGCTGTATTTTGGATATTTTGCAATTTTGATAGCAGCTTCTGAGAAATACCAAAAAGGAGGCTATTGCAGTAATCAATTCTTGATATAACAAGTCCCTGGACCAGACCGTGTGCTGCATCACGACTAATGAGATGGCGTATTCTGCCAATGGCTTCTGCTATGATTTACCTGACCATCCAGTGTGGACAGCAAGGGTTGGCAGCACCATCCACATCCGTAAAACCTTCACTTGTCATGTCAAAATATTTCAGTTTTTTTATTTTTTCTCATCAATCTGAATAATTTTGGGGAAAATCCATAAACTAACTACAACGAAAAAAAGTCTTCAGTAGAAAACAAGAATTTGACAACAGACAAACCCATCTTCCTTCCCGTCCAACTGCGTCAATCATGTGTTTTTCAACCAAGTCTTCATTGACACTACGTCACTTGGGTTGTACCTTTCCTGGGGCACTTGGTTTCACCTGCTCTAGTAGTTCCCTTCCGGGAACAATGAGTACATCATTACTCCCTACCTACCTTCTTACCTATATTTTTTTTCACAAGACAGTGGTGATATATACATGCAAGTGATGTTGACCCAGGGCTGGCTGCAGTATAGGCTGTCAGATTGACAGACAAGTGATACACTGCTTGATGAAGCGTTGTGAAGTGCAGGATGTTTAACACATTAGTTTACACTTCCCCTACTTCAGTGAGTATCATATTGATTACAACTGCCTTGGTAATAATCATGTCTTTATGATAACTGTATGTATATGTTGTGAACAGGATGTTTAATTTTTCGTAACTTGTGGAAATGTTGATCAAAAGTAATCCCTGAACAGTGTTTGGCAGTTGCCATGGGTACTGGCAGATGGAACACAAACACCATTTGCAACAGAAAAGTGTACATCAGTCTAAGTCTTGGGAGAAATTATATTATATGAAAATTCAGTGTTAGAAAATAGAAATGAAAATCAATGGTCCTTATCATATTTCTCATGTTAACTAATAATGGTATAGGATTCCTTTATTAAAGGGGGAGTTGGGGTAGCCTAGTGGTTAAAGCATTGGCTCGTCACACCGAAGGCCTGGGTTCGATTCCCCACATGGGTACAATGTGTGAAGCCCATTTCTGGTATCGCCACGGTGATATTGCTGGACAATTGCTAAAAGCAACAAAAACTTAACTCACTCACTCATTCCTTTGTTTAAGTGCTATAGCAGGAACCCCCCAGGAATTCATTCAGCATGTATCGACCTCACACGGACATACTTACAATAACTGCAGTCATAATATTCCTGAGAAATATTCTTGAACTTGAACTTGAAAAATATAAAATATGTTACACAGTTTTATGATGTTGGGATTATTAGAGATGATGTCAGTCTGCTTTGATTGTAGAGATCACTTTATATACAAATCATTCATCAGAATTGTTGAAACTGATAAAACTGGTGATAAACATGTAACTGCGTGTACTGTTAAACAATAGGTGGTCCTGTGTGAACAGTTCAGCTCACCAATGAGGTGGAAAGTAGGTGGATGGGTCCCTGGTTTCAGCAACTTGACTCCTGAGGGTTTCTAGGTGTTTGCTCCTGCCCCTCTCTGCAGCACATGTGGTGTTACCTCAGACAAGTAACTGTTGAAATATGACGCACTACAGAATGGGTATCCAGGAGGATGAGATGGTAGTGTGACTGTTAACTTGGGCAGCTTGGGTTGTATACTCCTCAGGGAGCTGAAAATGCAAATAGACATGATAGATAGCTCACTGATCCATTGACTGGGATAATGTTAAAGGCGAGAATGTATGGAGGTCATATTCTTCATCATGAGGAACATGACATTTCAGGATATATTCTCACCTGTTATGTGTTTAACTTCTAAATGTCATTCAAAGACTTTGGGGGACAGTAGCCTAGTGGTTAAAGCGTTCGCTCAGGTTCGATTCCTCGCATGGGTACAATGTGTGAATCCCATTTCTGGTGTCCCCCACTGTGATATTGCTGGAATATTGCTAAAAGCAGTGTAAAACTACTCACTCACTCACTCACTCGACATCTTTACTGTGTCTTTAGTAATTTGATGTTATTGACAGGAGATACAATGGTCGGTTTTGATAGGCACATGCATATCACTATCCCAGTGATTGAATATACTGTGCCAGTCATGATCGGACCCTCTTTCCTCTACATAAGTCAATTCCTCCCTTTTACGCAATATCTCAGGATAGAAGCTTTAATATTTCCTCAGATTGCCCCTTTCCCATCTCACAATATCTTGACACACAGACTGTAATATCTCAAGAAACAAGTGGTAAAATCTCCCCAAAATTCCCCCGCCTTTGTCTGTTCGAGATGAAGTCTGTATCAATCCTGATGATTTCATTTCCCTATCTGAGGAAAAGTCTTATCTAATAATGGACCAACCATTTGATAATCAGGTCCGGATTTTAAATGGAGACTACTGTGAGACGAACTTAAGAATAATGCTGACCTGTCATTTGAACCCGTGAATCTGAATAGTGATGCAGTCCATTTTACCATAAAGGGGCCAAGGGTATGTACAGCGATAAACTGCTGTGAAGCGTGTCAGTCTACTCTCGCTCTTCTGGAATGGGTTCTATTTGCTATTTTGCGGTTGACGATTTCCATACACAACCCAGTACAACACTTAAAATTTTTTTGTGTTTAACGATATAAAAAAATACCAAAGGTTAATTTCTGTCCTAGCCTAGTTTCTGTGTGTGTGAATATTTTATGGTTAATACGTTTACCCGTTTACCCAGTTTAGAGTGCGACATGATAAGTTTCAAATACCTGCAGAGTTTAATATTCTTTTAACAGTCCACTTTACAAGATACTAGTATGCAAATGCTCGAGCAGAAACACGACGCTTCCGAATCATTGCGTAGAAAGTGATTACTGCAAGGATCACCAAAATCACGTGCGTGAAGTTTTCACACCTGTTCCCCCTTCGAGTGGGTAGTGGATCAGTTCACGGCACGCTCCCCCCTCTCCTTTCACAAACGCTTTCTTTCGCGCACCTCATTTTAATGCTGGTTGGACAGTAGGCCATTTTTCAGTAACAGTTGCTAAATCAGATATTTTGTGTTCAGTTTCGATAAAATCCCAGCCCTTCCCCATCCCCCACCCCATTTTCTGAAATAGCAAAAGGTCAGTCTATAATGCACATATGGATTAGATTGGTAACAGTGAACTATGTACCCAGTTCAACATATATGCTGAAACCCCCTATGTCATCTTCAGACCGAACAAACCCGTGAAGATCGATATAAGAATTGATCCTTAGTAACCCATGCTTTTCATAAGAGGCGACTAATGGGATCAGGTGGTCAGGCCCGCTGACTTGGTTAACACATGTCATCATATCCCAGTTGCGTAGATCAATGCTCATGTTGTTAATCACTGGATTGTCTGGTCCAAACTCTATTATTTACAGACTGCCACCATATTACTGAGTGCGGTGTAAATCTAAACTCACTCACTCACTCAGAACAACTGTTCAGAGTGAGATTCTTGTTGAGTTTCTCCATCAGGTGTCTACAAGATGCTCAGCTTTTCAAAACAAGACCAGAATAGTCATCACTACTTTAGAATGTTTGTCAGATGTTAAACATAATGTACGCTGCCAACACTACTCAGACCTAATGCAATGGAAATAAAATGTTATTTTCATAAAGATGATGCAGTGCAAGTGTTTCCAGGAACAAGTCTATAGGAGTATAGCTTCATGTAGTATACAAAGCATTCCTTATATATGAAATGAGAAATTAGATCGTATAGATAGGGGTTCTTTCTGTATGAAGGATAATAGTCTGTCTCACATTTCCTGAACCATATTATTTTCCCTTTCACCCAGCCTTTACTGTAATGCAAATGCCTTCATTGAAATTAATTAAGTGAAGTTTTCTGACTAAGCCTTAGTTCATATGTATTGATGCATGATTTCCTGCTGAAGTAGCATTTTCATTATTTGTTTGTTGCAGCTATGGTGCACAGCCACGGGTGGCATGGCGGCGATCTCCCAAATAACAACCCCTAAAGAGGGGAAGTACGATGATGTGACATCACTGAACAGGCAACTGGTAGGTAACAGTACATGGAATGTGTGTACATAAGGGATGGTGTCAAAAGTTGGCATACATATTCAATTATGACATAGATTCAGAGGTGCATGCTATGTACTTGGTTTGTGTTAGTTACTTCAGCATTTTATCACGCAGCTTATGATGTCTTCCCCTGACATGCTTGAGTCATTGATGTATTGTTTCCTAATCTGGAGAAAAGTATCTAGTTTCTGCAATTTGAAACAACCCAACTTTTCATACAATCCCTCAAAGATGGGTCAAATAATGGTTTGAATATAAATGCTTGTCTTATCAGGTAAGTGCTTTTTGTCAGCGTTGAAACTTATGCTGATGTAAAACATCATTTATCTGCTCAGAGAACAGCTGAGCTTCAGGAACGTTCCAACAGATACACCACTTACTTGGTCTACTCCCAGAAACATTGCAGGAACTTACCTCAAACTGTAGACTGACAGTTCACTTAAGATAGACCTCAAGATAAGATCAGTGTGTCTTCAAGATTGTCAGAATGTGAACTGCACAATATGCTGTCCCATTAAAATTGCCTGAATTGTAATGGTTTTTGTCTGGTTTATGTGTTGTCTGCTACAGTGAAAGCAAGGTACATCTGGTTAGCGGACAAGTATAAGTAGAAAAACAGTACCTTTTCCAAAAAGATAATAAGTAAACAGTCTGAAGAAAAAATATTCTTGTCAATTGTGTTTCAATGGAAACTGAACCATTGAAGTCAGTTTTGTGTATGAAGAAAAATCATCCCAACCCATCAGCTCTTCAAAACCTTATAATGACTATCTTCAACACGGATGAAAGCTCTGAAATAGACTTTTCATTTAAACATCCCCTGACATCTAAGGACACACTGTACCACACACTTGGGTATTTGTCCTACTATACACTTGCAGGGTTTCGCTATTTACATCCTTCACCAGTGCATGTTAAAAATGGCTGGTGCAGGTTGCCTTTAGTAACAAGTTGCACCTGTTGCAAGTAACAATAAATCCTCCAACATCTTATAGCTGTCATCTTGTGTTTTAATTGGGAAGTAAGTGACTGGAAGTAACAAGACTTGTTACAAGCATAAACATTTGTGTACCCATAAATCAGTTACATAGCAGTTATTACATTGTTGAGATTTATAAATAAACTGAATGCAAAACTGAAACTGAATCATTCATCATAACCATCATGGGGGCAGATTCTGTTGAACATTGCTGAATTATTTCTGTTATGTTGTAGAATCAGTGACATTATTTTATGGTGCAACCAAAATTTTGGTGGTGCAGCCAAACCTATAAGCCAGGTTGCACTTGGTGCAGGTACTGTAAAAAACCCAAAATCGCACCCTGACTTGTGAAAATTGAAAAGTGTCCACATATGAGTCTGATCCATCCATATGGCACATTCAGTGTATACAGAGCTATAAATTAGCGGACACTAGCTATTGCAATATACATGGTGTAACATGTGCCTTTATGTTACATATAAATGAACTATGTATAGACGTCTATCAGCAGGATTTAAAATGGTTTATGTGTCGTCATATTTTCCATGTTCTTCTTGAAACAATTAGTTTGGAGTCTTCAAAACAAACATCAATATTAAACTTAGAAAGGAGCCCCAGTGAGATGGATATTTCAGAACCTTTGGAAAAACTAGACTTGCTTTATTTGGGATTTAGCATAACAGGAAGGGTTGGCTGAATTAAAACTGCTGTATGTTTCTGGGACTCCTGTTGTCTCAGGGAGACAGACTACTACTGTCTCATATATAACGTAGCATATTATTTTAAACATGGTGAACATTATTGTGAATTAAAATTTCTTTTTTTTCAGCTAATTATCAGTATCTAATTACAGCCAAGTTTTATGATTGATGGCTGGCGATAATTACAGTCATCAATCATGTATGTGATTCACAGCTGCTAGTGGACTTTTTACGATTTGCATCTATTTTTACAGCTGAAAAAATGCAACTGGTAGAAACAGATCAGTTTATCCTGCATTATGCCAGTTCATGTCACTTCATTGTTTAATACACAGATGTGCTACATTAAACAGCTGAAAAAATTGCGAGTTTTGTTTTGTCTGTGTTTTCTGTGTTTGATGATTGAAACGTTTGAAACATATTTATGTATTGTACTATGATATAGTTCTACATTGTCAGGCGATCTTGTATATCTGCTGACTCTGTACAATACTTCCTTCTGCCTTTCCTGGGAAACACCCCAAACCAGGACCTTAATTAACTCTCCTAACAGGAAGGTTCTTGATCAACAGATATGTAGCATCACAATTAATGCAGTTGTGCACACTTCCTCCTTCACAGAATACTAATTCAGTTCAGTATTATATGTCTGCACCTATTCACTGTGAGCTTGTGGACGAGAGCGTGGATCAAGGGAAATAACTCCTTCAGCCTTATTTGTTTCATCACCTTTTACAACAGCTTTTGTAGAACTTGCTAAGGAGTGGGATGAAGGCTGTAAAATCTTCTTTGAAGTGTTGGTAGGGCTACACCAGATCAGGCATGATTTACCTCTGCTAGGATTCACTGGACCAGCTGATTCTGTTTGGTTATGCAAACTGGACAAATCATTTTTCAGAATTCAATCTGATCGTGAAGACTAGATCTGGTTAAACTCACTGTTAAGAGGCAGCTTGTCTGTGAGTCAGGGTTGTAATTACACAGTCTAGACCAAAGAAATGATGGTGACACCAGATTGTCATGGTGAGGGCATCTTCGGGCTGGAAGATGCAGTAACCATACCATCGGTTTTCAAAGGGGACTCAGAATCTATAATATGGAAATAAGACTAGACGTTTACCTGAAACTGATATCATGAATATGTCACTTTTTGATTGGAAGATGTACGAGGGGGCAAAGATCGTTATATGGATTTCAGTTTATCTTTACTCATTTTTCTATGAAATGTAGAATGAAATGTTTGGACCTTTTGCAAGTATTAGTTTTAATGGGCTTTTAATCATTTTTGATATGTAGAAATATTGTCTATTTTGGTACTACATTTGTCTATTGTAATAACGACAAGCTTTATTCATCTACTGTTTTTCAAAAAACAAGTGATACTGAGGATAAACAAACCATCATGCCAAAAACAAAAGTTGGAAGTCACACCACAATATTGTAAATGTCTCTTGATGTAAGGCTGCTCGTTAAATTTTCCTTTAATATGTCTGTAGATATAGTTTAACAGCCCCATGTACCTTGTACAAATGTGAGGAAGTGATCTGCTTCATGTGTTTGAGCTAAGCTGCCACCATTGGTTATCTCAGGTATGGTGGAGACTTCATTGTGTTCAAACCTTATATGCCTCTGGGGAATGTTTCCAACATATGAGTAAGCGTCACTGAAGGAAAGGTCACTAAGCATGCATTTGGCATCAACAGTGCTTGTGTACGTCATAAATGGACTATTTATGAATGGAATTTGATGAGATTTAATGCACATTACCTCTAAGGTGGGGGTCTTGATCACATTAAATTTTAGGGACCTCCATAGTCTCTAAAGGTCAGAATTATTTAACATCATTACAATTTCTGGATAATTCAGATTCATGAAAAATCAAAGGTTAAGTTGCACTCTTAAGTCACCACCTCAACATCTATGATGTCATGCTTATGTCAAGGTCACATTGAAGGTCATTTGCTGGTGTAATGACCTGTAATTAGTTTGTATTGACTTGTATACAATTTTAGGAAGAGTTAGTATGATATGGAGAAGTATATTTGTAAAACCACCTAGAGGCAAGTAACTGTTGTACCAGAAGGATGCTAGGGTAACCTAGTGGTTAAAGCGTTCGATCGTCAGCCAGAGACTGGGGTTCAACACCCAACATGGGTACAATGTGTGAAGCCCATTTCTGGTGTCCCCTGCCATTATATTGCTGGAATATTGCTAAACGCTAAACTCACTCACACTCACTCCTTTCCAGACATTGTTTGTAAACCTGAAGTGTATATTTTGTGGTAGCTATTAGCAACGGTACACTCCTGGTTAGATACAATCCGTATCACGGTATTGACTCCTCGGTTTGTCAAATATAGAAAAATATTCATGCTTAACAACCGATAGAGATAGTAGATCCAAATGTTTTTGCACAGGCACACACTGAATGCGTACTCCCTCATTACAAATAATGTGATATTGGATATATCTGCAGTAACTGATAGAGACATATGTCTAGTGAATTAGAGGACCTATGAACTTATTTGGAGATATTATGGCCTTGTAGCTACTTACCTGGAACATGACTCTCCAGAGTGAGGGCACAGTGGCAGGATTGCTGAGTCAGCTGGTCAGCCTCAGCCCGTTGGTGGTCCAGTACCGATGTGTACCTGTGATGGCAGTATGGGGAAGTTAATGAAGTGTTTATACAGGAACACTGAAGTATTAGCAACAGTTGCATCATTAGAAGTTGTAACATTGAAAGTGGTACCAGATCAACTCATCCGTCAGCCACGGCCCGGTGGTGGTCCAGTACCGATGTGTACCTGTGATGGCAGTATGGGGAAGTTAATGAAGTGTTTATACAGGAACACTGAAGTATTAGCAACAGTTTCATCATTAGAAGTTGTAACATTGAAAGTGGTACCAGATCAACTCATCCGTCAGCCACGGCCCGGTGGTGGTCCAGTACCGATGTGTACCTGTGATGGCAGTATGGGGAAGTTAATGAAGTGTTTATACAAGAACACTGATGTATTAGCAACAGTTGCATCATTAGAAGTTGTAACATTGAAAGTGGTACCAGATCAATTCATCCGTCAGCCACAGCCCGGTGGTGGTCCAGTACCGATGTTTACCTGTGATGGCAGTATGGGGAAGTTAATGAAGTGTTTATACAAGAACACTGAAGTATTAGCAACAGTTGCAACATTAGAAGTTGTAACATTGAAAGTGGTACCAGATCAACTCATCCGTCAGCCACGGCCCGGTGGTGGTCCAGTACCAATGTGTGCCTGTGGTGGCAGTATGGGGAAGTTAATGAAGTGTTTATACAAGAACACTGAAGTATTAGCAACAGTTGTATCATTATAAGTTGTAGCATTGAAAGTGGTACCAGATCATCTCATCCGTCAGCCACAGCCCGGTGGTGGTCCAGTACCAATGTGTACCTGTGATGGCAGTATGGGGAAGTTAATGAAGTGTTTATACAAGAACACTGAAGTATTAGCAACAGTTGCAACATTATAAGTTGTAGCATTGAAAGTGGTACCAGATCATCTCATCCGTCAGCCACAGCCCGGTGGTGGTCCAGTACCAATGTGTACCTGTGATGGCAGTATGGGGAAGTTAATGAAGTGTTTATACAAGAACACTGAAGTATTAGCAACAGTTGTATCATTATAAGTTGTAGCATTGAAAGTGGTACCAGATCATCTCATCCGTCAGCCACGGCCCGGTGGTGGTCCAATACCGATGTGTACCTGTGATGGCAGTATGGGGAAGTTAATGAAGTGTTTATACAAGAACACTGAAGTATTAGCAACAGTT